ATGCTCGGATCTGCATAAAATTATCGTCATAAATTATACCAAACCGAAGAAAGTTTAGAGCACAACGTTTCATATTATCTGGAATACTGCACTCTTGGTGCCTTGAGCTACAAATTATCCAGTCAAAATGAACACTGTATATATACCAGATACCTATTAAGTATATATTATGCACTTACATTTTCAACGGTATTTACGATCAATATTTCATTGTGTCATTTCCTTATTTACTTAATTATTACCTTGTATACCAATAGTTAACTGCATAATTCACTTTTAGGTAATATGTACCTACGTTTGAATAATAAGGAATGCTAATATTGTTTTTTTTAATTTATGTAGGTAGCGGAAAAAAGAATTGTAGTAGATATATAAGTATATTATAAATGTACATTATGATTCAAATAAGCTGAAATAAAAATATACAATTTCGTAATTTTAAATATTAGTAAATAGGAGTACCTAGTAAAGATAATAATATTGGTTTTTGTGTTTTCTCTATATAGTAGCAGACACTCTAAGATGTTTGTAGTGCCATATATTTATGTATTGTTTTATTGAAAAATGTTATAATAAGAATAATATATGATATTGTAAATTTAATATTCTGTAATATATTGAATGTTGATACTTTAAAGAACATTGCGAAAAACATGCAAACATTGAATAAATTCAATATACGATTGTCATGAATTCAATATTATAGCTTGTCATTATATCTTAAAACATGTATGTTGTTCAATATATTAATTAAATTTTTTAACTTAATAAATTGTACTGGTAATGTTGTAAAATAAAATGTTACAATAATATATTTACTGTAATAATCCCACTCAATATTTGCCACGTTGTAAAATGCTTTAATAATCACTTTAAAATTAATTAACATAATTATAAAAGGACCCAGAATAAGAATAAGAAATAAACAGAAGACTAAAAAAATATTGAATAATATTTTATTTTATTCTACCAGTGGTACTTAATACTCAAGAGTTACGGAGATTTAAGGAATTATTAGGTTGCACAATATTAGTTAATTAGTTGTTAGTTTTTAGGTTATTTTGTCTGAAAATATGAATAAAATTTGTATCTATATTTTATGTTGATAAATGTTGATAAATTCAAAAAAGTTATATTTATATTTTTTTATTTTTTGAAACAATTGAAAATAACTATTTTATAGAGTCTATTTTTGTAAAAATTTTGACTTTTTGACTTTCATTAATCTCATGATTTTTAATATTTTTTTTAGTTTATAGGTAAAACAACAAAAAACCGGTTTTTGTCCGAGCGGCGAGTCCCCCTCTAATGAGTATATCACAACGGGACATTCTGTATAATGGTATTATCTTCATTTTTACTGTTCTGTATAGATGTGTTCAGGGGATAAATATAGTATGTTATTTAGTATCAATAATCGATATAACGTGGATTTATCTTGTGTAAAATGTTTGTAATTTTTTGTTAAAATACTGATGTTGGTGTACCAATGACTGGATTTACCATACTCAAAAAATGTAATCAATCACTGTCACCATTTCAAAAACCATAAGCATAGTTGCATATAATAATTCTTATTGGACAATGGGTAATGTATTTTAGTCATCCTCTCATAAGTATACACATAACACAAACCCATTTTTATAACTGTAAAAGAGTCACACCTTGTTAAGTTCGGTAGTTATATGTCAACAACTCATTAACTCACCATTATTAATTTAGTTTAAGTCTTTCGAAATCAATTTGTTTATTATATTTGTTTTAATTATGTATATTAATAAAATATGTACCTATTAGATCTTTTTAGACTCACCTATAGTTTATTATAATTTTCACTAACCATGTTACAAAATCTTACATAAATGTCAACCAATTAGGGAATAATCTTTTCTCCTACATAAAAAAATACAAACTATAATGTTTGTGAGTCTTGTGTGATGAAGGTATTATATTATGTACTAAATCCCTTGGACACTTGACGTAAACATTATACATTGAAACGTCACCAAAGATAAAATCTGAAACGCGTATGCACCCAAGTACGTGAAAAAAATACGAAATTCTCTTTGAACGGAGGGTGTGAACGACATCAAAGAACTATTGTGGTAAAAACTACTTATGCCTAACTCGGGTAAGTGGTAACCCGACGGGGCGGTAGTAGTGGATTAGTAATTTTTGTCGTCCACTGTCCACACCATCAAAGTCTGTTTAATCTAAAATTCCTTTGTCTTTTTTAAGTAAAGTCGATATTTCAACAACACTGTCACACAACCACTTCATCCTTTAACAACGTCCAGTCATTAATATGTAACTGCCAGTAGTGAACTAGTACGCTTTCATTATGCACCACTAATTAAAATAATTTAAAAACGAAACATGACGTTTTAATATTATTCTGAGATGTGTTAAAAAAAATATGTGTTTATGTATACCTACTATATTAATAGGTTAGTATTGAAGAAAATACTTTATATTATTTTTCATATGCACTCGCATGTGTTAGTTATATTTGAAAATGAAACGACATAACTGTGATTTTGTCACATCAAATAGTACACTATATAAATATATTACAAGTTTCTAATTATAATATTTTATTTATCTACCTACTAGGTAACATTCAAATTATTTATTCTAAATTATGAATTATTTGATTTGTGGATGATCACTTACAATAAAAAAGAACCGTTTAACTGTAGTAGGTATATGACTTTATTGACTATATCGTCCTATAATTAGACAGTTTTTATTCCATGTTGATATTAGAAAATTTATCTAAAATATTTAGACATGGGTACCTAATTCTATGCAAGGTTATATTTCATAAGTCTCATAGAAGTTAAATATATGGTAGTATTTAGAAGTGCGTTATGAACATTAGGATTTATTGAGTGTCGTTGAAATGAATTTTCAAATATACATTTATAAAATGTTTATATTAAGCAATTGACGATCATTATTTGAGCATGGAACCCTAGTCAAGTAGGATTAGTAGATAAAATTCCGAGAAGGTTCTTATTCGTATATTAATGTCTGATTGTTATTAAAATATTATAGTTGGGTAAACACAATGTGTTTTGTTCTATGGATGAAGTGGGTAAATTGTACAAAATTAAGTTAGTTGAAAATAGGCCAACAATGTTTGATGTGAAATTATTGTGTGTATAGGTAATACTTATAAATAAAATAAACTAATGTAAAATAATATAATATAATGTGGACAATTTTAATGACGGCATAGTTTCAGTCTACTAGACATTTAATTCACATAGGTATGTAATTATGCAATAAACTGCTCTATAAATCTTATATGTTGAAATCGATTAAAATAGTTAAATATTTTGATTTTTTGATTTTGTCTTGACTGAGTTTTGACCCCTTCTTAAAATACGAAAACCAAATCCATCTCCCAAAATTATAATAATATTATCACAAACAGTAACAATTATACGTATTAACGCAAGCAGTTATAATGAATATAGATTATCAACAGTGTTATATAATCATATCCCTCGATTCCCCTCATGTTCTAGTGTTTGGTCAAAGCAATTGCGTGTGTCGCTGAACGCCGCCACCGTTGGTGTGCATCTCCGGGCAACCTGTTTCCTAAATTAATTAATTATTGTAATTTGTAATAAGTCCTCCTAATGACGATACTGCTACGGAAGTGGCTCAGTGGTCTGAGATTTGCTGGTGGAATTTCTAAATTGCCGATTGGATGGCTGATGTGTAGTTGATATGACATTATTATTAATTTCCGATAGTTTGGTTGTCAATTTAAGAGCATTTAGCAATAATACTGGTTTGAACTTTTTCTCCAGTTTATCTCCTTCTTTGCAGGTGTGGTGATGACTGTTATAGACTATTATAGGGGAGTAGCTTATGGTCATTACAATAGGATTGTAATCTAATAATGATGAGTTGGGTGTATTCACTGTAAGGAATGTTTACCAGTGCAATATCCAGGACTTAAGGGCTGTGTGGTGGATTGTAATAATCTGGTTGAAGAGTCTGGTGCACAGATGGAATAAGATGGGCAATTCCACGTATTGATGGAGCGCTCTGCCCACCTGGTTTCTAGTGTGGCAGTTCCAGGATTGGTGTTTTGTGTTCAGATCTTAAACTGCTATAAAAAGGCCCCACTGGTTGGTAATGGTGTCAGGGTCATTAATTAACAAAATAGCACTTGGACTTTTGGACATTGACATAATACGCTTCCGATTTTGATTGTATTTGTACTTGAATCAGCTGAAGTCTTTATATCTTCGTGCTTGTGTAAGATGTTTTTATGTATAAGTATTGAAGTTTCACTCACTGGTGGTGTTCTGGTTTTGAGTATTTGGTCCTGTATGTAGGGGAAGTGTTTGGAACTTTGAGTATGGTTGATAGGCTTTTTCAAGTTTATAAAGAATGTGGATGTTGAGAACATTTATAGTTCATTGTTTTTGTGTTTAATGCTATTGCAGTTTCAGAAGACAATATTTATGACCATGGTTAGGAAGCGAAGCGGCGACTGACAGATCGGCAGCAACGCAATACTGTGGTGGTATCCTTTCAGGTGTATATCGATATAATAAGAATACGATATGACCTTTTTTGTCTTTGGCTGTATGTATGTGCGGTCTGGTCTGGGTACGCCTTATCTCTCCGGACTTCAAATCGTGGCATATATATATATACGACCCAAAATATAAACCGGCTTCAGTTAGTACCACTAGGATAATTTAGTCACGTTACAATCTATATCGTTAACTTACTATTAAGAAAAAAATGTGATTTCAATGACAAACAAATCGCTTGACGACCAGATTGTTTGAAATAAATACATACACTTGTAGTACACTTAATGAACGAAAATGTGTAATCCTCGTCGCCAATTAAAATATATTACAAAAGTCGTGTTGAGATAGATTGTTGTAAACGTGACGTGAGACGAAAATCCAACTGCTACATTGCCACGTATCTCTTTTAGCAGCAGTGGTTGACATAACGTGATCGTGATGACGTCTCTGGTGGTGACGGCGACTACTTCGGTGGAGGAGACAGAATCGTCGACTACGAGCACGACGAAGACGGTAATCTCGGTGCCATCGTCGGTTGTGTCGGTGGCTTCCATTTTGCCACTGGAGCCTGAGACCACCGAGATCGTGTCCATTTCCCTGCAAATCCGTCGAGCCCTGGAATGCCCAATATGTCTGACCATGATGTCTGCCATGTCGTGCTTCTGCTCCAATGGGCACGCCATCTGCCAATCATGCATGCTGTCGCTGTTGAACACTAGCACCACCAACACCCTGTGCCCGCTGTGCCGGACGTCGATGGTGCAGTCCGTGAGCATGTCGGTCATGATAATTAAACTGGCTGAGGTGACCACGTTGGTGAAGGTGGCGTGCTCAAACTGGTCTTTTGGGTGCCCTGATATGGTTCCTGTTAGATACGTTACCGAACACGAGTCCGTGTGTCGGTACGTGCCAGATGTGCCGTGTCTGGTACATATGTGTCAGTGGGTCGGCATGTACGGACAGCTGTACGAACACGTGTCCAACGTGCACCCTGGTGTTACCGTTGAGTCTTCGGTAACGATAATATTATTATTAACAATATTAATATGACGATATCGAGACACGACCACTCTACGCGCAGTGTATGACTGTAGTTCACGGCACGGATATAGATACTATGGTTGCACAACGAGCAATAATATGACGGCTTCAAATGTTCTTATCAAATTACATAAATACATAAATAGTATCCATACAAAAAATTCGCGACATACTAGCGCTCCTCAGTGGCTAGGTAATCAGGTTTGGTTACCGTACCCCAGTAGTGGTTGTATAGGGCGCTAGTAAAACTCGACTTTTTGTCAGAATTGATAAGAATATTTAGCGCCGCTCAGCGCTGTGATCCTTATGGGCCGTCGTGCAACCATAGTATCTATATCCGTGGTTCAAGGCTAGTATGGTTGCGCTTTGTTACCTATGTAATTATGTGTCCATCATAATATTATTATGATCGTATAAAAAATATTAAAAACCTAATGTTTTAGATAAAATTATTATATAAGCCTAATGCATACCACGACTGTAAAGAGTATAGCTGTGCTGCAACTTTATAATTATTATGTCAAGACCGGAAGACCTCACTAGAAGCCAACGAGCTCAATTGCTGTGGTATTACTAGAAATCGGTTTTTTTTCTTTTGTGATTGTTTTAGAATACATATTTTCCCAGCTGTTATTATATTCGTACACTATAAAGAAAAATATTAAAAATATTATGTTAACCTAAAAAAACACAATTTTTCCGCGTCTTTTCAGATAAACCGGTTGAACGTGAACGACCTCCACACAATTACTAGGAACCAGCGCAGGACGTACCTGGTCCGTTCGGAGTCCGGCATGATGTGGGTGCTGGTGTCGCGGGGAATGCGGTTCCGGCTCCAGATGAGACTGTTCATGGTGAAGGGACACTCGACATCTAACCTCAACCAATATCGAGCTAACCCACGACTACCGGAATTATTGTACCGGGTCACGTGGTTCGATGGTAACAACCGGACCCGGGCCAAGAGCCTTACGAAGCAGGTGTTCTGGAGTACATCCCTGAAAAAGGGCTGCCACACCACGTTCTTTCCCTTCACGTACTCCATGTTCCAGCCCAATTCGGGTCGCATGGAGATCAGTTGGTTCCATCGTTACGATTTCAACAGCCAGGTACGAAACCATCCATCCTCGACTTGAACTGCAGCACCAAAATATTTCGTCTTTATTTTTTAAAGTTATTATTACATACGATGACTGTCGATGAGGTGTAATAATATTATCATATCATTATAGTCATAGCGATGATGTACCTAACAATAATTTGATCACCTAAAATCAGTCTGTGTGTGTGTGTGTGCCATAATTGTATTAAATATCAATCTTCGTTGACATCAAAAGCTCACCGACTCATGTCTCAATGTCTGACTCAATGTTGACTCATCAACATTCAGTACGAGATCGTGTGTGTGTGTGTGTGTGTGTGTGTGTGTGTGTGTGTGTGTGTGTATGGGATGTTCGAATAATTATTTGGTTTTAAGTAATTTGTTTTTAACTGATCAATAAATAAACGTTATATCTTAACGAAATATATGGGTGGTTGTGTATATACGCTCACATTTGACTTCTTGGTAAGCCGCCACGTTTATAATTATTAAATTTGTGTCTGATTAATTTTGAGGTAGAGTTGTCGAGATGTCAAATTCTCTATTACCCTCATTATTATTAACCATTTTACTTGAATCTATACATATAAAATCCAAATACCACTTAGTCACTGATCGCTGTAACTCAAAAACTACTCAACATACGAACTTGAAATTTGAAATGGTGGTTCTTCTCATTTTTTCACAGTGCAATAAGAAAGGATTTGCCGAAATTCGCATTTTAAATAGGTGCTCAAGGAGGGAAAAAATTGAGGTTCATGATGGAAATTGGAAATTTTATTTTTATTTATTAATAGTTGCATTGGTTACAGTCTACAGTAGAAATTAGTATTTAAATATTATTGATGGCCATTGGTTATTCGAGCACGATAAGGTACAAGCTTGCATCAAAATGAATGTTTGTGTGTAGATATTTGGGAAGAAAATAGGCTGATTTAAAAAGGGTTAAATTTAGTTTTTTTTATTCATCAAATTTCAGAACGGTTAGGTTATGTTAGGATTATGTATTAATTGATTATATCAATCCACCATATTGTATCAAAATAAACTTGGTATAACTTTGATGCTTAAGAGTTAAATCATACACTTACGTACAGACAGCACTGGGTCCGCGATATACCGCAGGTAGATTGCATACCTGATAATATACTGCTGAAGAATTTTTAATCCAGGTAACAAAAAGTTAAGATAAATTGTGTACACCATATACGATATACCGAATATTAAATAACGAATTGAACAAAGCTTGAGTCATATAGAGTTAGTGCATTTAACGGGCAACGAAGTGCACAGGATCAGCTAGTAATAATATAAGTACAACAAGTATTTACTCCCTCAACACTGTTATACGTGCTTCGTCAATGTTGTAGTATACTGAACGGTTCTAGAACCTACCCACCTCGAGGACCAATTAAACGACAATCATCGATGAATAAATTATCAATCATATTGATAGATATTATTTTCATTGGACTTAGTGTTGCACATTTATAATGTCAATAGAACACACAGTTTTTTTTTCACACTTGTACAAGTTCAAACAGGCAAACCCGTAGTTGTAGGTTCTTGAAAAGTGACTTATCATTTTCAATTTATGTTTTTAAAGAACATTACAAACGGACCACAATCAAACGGGCCCGGTGCAAAGTGTAATCTTCGGCGCTCTTCAGCATCATGACATCAAGATGTTCTTAGCTGCTTAATGTAGGCCCGTTTGTCACGTTTGCACACTTTTGAAGCCCCAAACTTTCATGCTATAAAGTTCAAACGAAAACCAATATTTAGCAAGTAACTCATCGAAGTGGTGAAGTACTTACCACCCTGCAGTATATCATTAAAAAACTATAAGGAGGGCTGTATCTTCAAGTATCTATACACATTTCACCAGAGAGTCAGAAATAATACAACAAACGAATCTGCCTACACCCGAATTTCCGTAAGTAATAATAAGTTAACAATTGTTAAACTGAAATTTTTTTTTTAAGTTTCCTTGTGAAAAGTTGACCAGGATAACGTATATTATCTAACCACAAGTTTTAATATATTTATAAAATACGTTTCGTAACTTGCAATACCACTTTTAATTTTAAGTTATATCAAGATTTAATTTTGTCATTATTATGTTTATGGAAACAAAAATATCAGCTTTCAGCAGAGTTATTTATACTAATTCCCGAGTCTTTGTCTTATTCGAAACGAGTTCTGTGTATGACTTTTGGCTATATATTTTTCGTTGGTCATTGTGTCATGACTAGCAAACCTTATTACTACGGATACCTACGGGTTTGAGATTTAATCAATTTAATCATATATTTAGTTTTTTTGATTTTGCCATTGCTTTTCCAACTTGTTCTACAAGACCCGTGTTATACGGTTTATGTTTAACAAAACTTTTCAAAGCAATAATAACATAAAATCACAACAAAAATATTGCCCGCAGGTTAAAAATATCGTCTAATCAGGTTCGGACATTATGTCATGTCCTACTCACTGTAGTTTCGGGTGTCCAATTCCACGAACCATGCTCGTGGATGGTAAGGTTTCCTTTCTTAAATAAATGTGTGGAATGAGCAATATCCAGATATAGTTTTGTATGATCTCTATTAAACTGCGATGACCGTAGCAGGAAAAAGCTAGGACAACCATATTTTACATTTATGTAATAATTTATTACAACTCGCAGCATATCGAAAAATGTTATTATTTGCACTACCTACGATTTGCTTTAAACATTATATTATTTTTTTTTACAACCTTTTTTTAACGTTCAAATAATAATATTGTTATACGTAGTATCATTATAGATATATTTTGATTACCTAGTAAAATGAGTTATACCTAAACACTGAATTGTAATTCCATCTGGAATGTGTGGATCTTACTAAAGTATGCAAACTGTTGATTTATACAATTTGTCTGTGTATCGATGGAATGATCGATTTTAAGTACCTACCAATGTTTATATTTTACTAATAAGCAATTGGATTCATCTCATTCATTAAATATGTTAATGTATTTTACATATTAAATTATTTCAAGAAATCTCAAACAAAAATTAAATTAAATGCAGATTATATTATGATATGGATTATTTGGTTATTATTTATAGGTTATTGACTATAGGTACATCAATCAGACACGACTACACGAGTCTTTGGAATAATATAATTTCACACCAATTCACACAAGTTCAAATTTCCACAAAATGACACAGGTAGGTAGATATTAAATAACGAAGAATGACGATTTGAGTTATATTTTTGTAATTTTATTGTAATCATTCGATTTACAGGCGGACCGGCTACCGTATAAAAAATAAGTAATAACAATATAATTAATATAATATGATATATACTAGAATGACAAATCGTCTTCGCTCAGAATCGATTTTCGTATACAATAATATTATGTAATTAAATTAAAATTTAATACCATTCATTATAGTAACCAACTTGCAACCTAATGTACAGCCGAGCAACATCTACTAACCCGCTATTTTGAGATGGAAATACCATTAGTATTTTGAAGATAGTTATTATTTATTACACTTTGTAGTTATAGTTATAGCACTAGCTTATACTCTGATAGCGTAACACCGTCGCCGTAATAACGTCACCTACATAGAACATTAATATTACTCCGCATGAGCTTAATAACTAAGCTCATTCAGATCCAGTTACAAACGAAACAACAGCTAGTGTACACCTATTTGCTTTTCATGGACATATTAAAGATAATCATTTTAAATCTGATTTCTACCTATCTCGAAGAAATTTAATTGTGGATCTCTATATACAATTGTGTGATTGTAAATTCCGCTCAAAAAACGGACAGGTCAATTTTGGATACTTGCAAATTCTACCTAAAAAATGAGCGGGTGATAAAAAAAATACCTTTTAATAATATAAAAACAGGTCAGTGGATTACTGTAAAGTAGGTTACAAGTGGGTGACAGTAATGCATGGTGTTAAATTTTAATTCAATGTACCTATACTATCACTGTTTACGAAAAACTGTTCTGAGCGGAGTTGTCAGACTAGGATATTTTATATTATATTTATAATGTTATTGTTAAAACGGCAGTCGGTTAAGTTGAATTATTATTATTTGTTTATTATAATAGCTAATTATTTGTATATAATAGTACACTTTAGAACTTTCAAGTACCCACGAATAATATTTTTTAAATATAACACAAAACTAAAATCATTCTACTTTACGTTTAAACATCTAACTTCGCTCAAATTTGAACATAAAATCACTATAAAAAAAACTGTTTATTTGTATTTTTAGATTTTTTGGTTACGGAATAACCTAATTACGATTGACCTTGTTTTACATTTTCAATCCATAGCTATAAAATTTGAACATTTTATAATTTTTAACTACAAAATCATCATTTGAAACATTTTTTCAAAATTCAATCTTTAAATCTTTATAAAAATAAAAATTGCGCCTATGTATTGTAACAATTTAAGAATTCTTGTATTTAATGTTCACTTTTTTTGACCAAAAAAAATACAATTTCATTGACATTTATAGAAAAATAAAACTAAAAAAATTGGAAATTGAAAATGTCAGCCAACATATTTTGAAAAAAGGCAGGTAAGTGGATGTCGCTCAGCTGTACAGTAGGTTACAAGTTGATCATTGTTTAATGGATTGTATTAAACTTGAATTCAATGATATAATATCATTGTATAAGAAAAACGATTCTGAACGGAGACGGTTTGTCAGTCTGTATATTTTATATTGTCATTAATTATTTTATTTATTTAATTATTATTTTTTTTATTCGTTGCTACGGTGATAAACAAATTGTTAGAAATTAAAATCCCATTTTAAGCGGTTTTTCGTAATTTTTCAGTACTTTTTCCCGTGGCATTAAATAACTATTGAGAAAATCGAAAAATTACCTCTCTAAAGTACCATCTTGGTCCAATTTGCTAAAAGATAAGGTACTATATGTTGAAATCAAAGCACTCCTTCTGGTAGAAATTTTGTATACAGGATATAAAAAAAAGAAAAAAAAAA